GGAGACACTAAACCAAGAAAACCATCCCTTATAAAGGCTGACCAGCCGCCTGGGACGTGTTACCCTATGAATGGCTTTAGCTCCTCAGGCTAAATGAGCCACGGGATAGGCAGAGATCAAAGGAATGGAGATTACCCAGCGCCTGTGAAGTAATTTACATCTTGGTGTCTTCAGGCACCTATTATTGTAATGGATAATGCAGGAACCGGCTTCCTACAGACTCTAAAAGAGAAATACATGGCCCCCTGGAGAAGAGGAAAGGGACAAGATCTGAGCAAATTGGGATCATGGGGGAGGAGGGAGGGAACTAGGAGAATGAGAAGTGGAGAAGAAGAGGGGTGAGAAGGACATAAGGGAGCAGGAAGGATGTGTAGGGGGTAAGAGGAGGTGTGAGGAGGACATAAGGGAGCAGGAAGTTTGTGTAGGGGGTAGAATAGAGAAGAGCAAAATAAGCGATACCATCAAAGAGGGAGCCCAGATAGGTTTAAAGTGAAATCAGGCACTGGGGAAATGTCCAGAGATCTACAAGGATGACATCACCTAACCATCTAAGCAACAGTGGAGAGGCTACCTTAAATGCCCTTCGCTGATAATGAGATTGATGACTAACTTATATGCCATCCTAGAGCCTTCATCCATCAGCTGGTGGAAATAGAAGAAGATACCCACAGCTAAACAATGAACTGAACTGGAATCCAGCTGCAGAGAAGGAGGAATGATGAGGAAAGTGGTTAAGAACAGGCTGGTGAAATCCACAGAAAAAGCTGACCAGAAAAAGAGGAAGCTCTTGGCCCCCCAGTCTGATCACTGGGAAACCAGCATGGGACTGATCCAGACCCTATAAATGTTGGTGTCAGTGAGGAGGCCTTGCAAATCTATGGGGCCTCTCGTAGTAGATCAGTACTTACCAGTATTGTAGGAATAGGCTTTGGGATCCCATTTCACACAGAAACAGCTGACCTAAACAACGGGGAGCTCTTGGTCCCCAGACTGATCACTGGTAAACCAGCATGGAACTGATATGAACCCATGAATGTGGGTGTCAGTAAGGAGGCCTCAGAAATCTATGGGGCCTCTTGTAGTAGATCAGTACTTTTCCCTAGCATAGGAATGGACTTTGGGAGCCCATTTTACATAGAGGAATACTCCCTCAGCCTAGACACATGGGGGAGGGCGTAGGCCCTATCCCAAAGGATATGACAGACTCTGAAGACCCCCCCATGGAAGGCTTTACCTGGTAGGGTGTTAGTGGGGGGGGCAGGGGAGGAGGGGAGGAAGAAAGAACTGGGTTTGACATGTAAAACAATCTTGTTTCTAATTTAAATTTAAAAAAAAACTGAAGCATAGGGGCAACTGCCGAAGTTCAAACTCTAGTCCATCGCTGACCACCAGGACAACCTTGGAAGAGTTGGTTAACCCAACTGTCATTTCCCTCTGCTTTAAGATGGGTGGTTCAATATAGTTGGTATCTCATCGGATATGTAGACAAGCTGACAATTTAATTAACTGTATGGGCAGTGCTGCTTGAGTGATATTAGTTACAACCTCTTTCATCACCATTTCCATCAGCATCTTCATTATGATGCTTTTAACACAGTCTGGGGCCTTAGAGTCAGGAAGTGATCAAAGGTGACAATTCATCGGTAGGGAAGAAGCTTTTAATGCTGTCTTTGGGTGGCATCTCAGTTACTGCCAGCCCTTTTCTCATAGTCCTTAGTTCTGCTTCTTTTTACTGATGCAGGCAATGGGAGATTCCATCCCCCTCATACACATGCCTAAAATTGTGTTCATATTGTATAAAGGATGATGCCATATACATAAAGGTAGGAAGAGTTTATGACTCACATTATGAGCTTCCTAGAAAGAGCAATCTAGGCTGCCAAGCAGGTCTGAAAATTGCTGAGAGCACAGAAAGGAGCAACTGGCTTGAAGTTTTATGGTGGTTGGGTAAGAGTTAAGGTCAAGGGTGTTCCCTTTGGGGGAGTAGACACTGATGGCTTGAACTTTTCAGGAGTGCTAAAAGAGGTTTGGTTTTATTTTTGTGTTTGCAGAGTTGTTTATTATTATTATTATTATTATTTATTATTATTATTTGTTTTGGTTTTGTTATGTTTTAGTTTTTTCTTTCGGGTAGAAAGGAACATAGAAATGGAACTCTCAGTACTTTATTATTAAAGATGAAATCAGACTCTGATTACACTACCAGGAGTGATGATTCAGTCTTCTTACAAGGTAGCATGACCTGTTGCCATGGGTAAAGGAATCCTGATGACCTACTGTCCACCCACAGTACCATCCTGGTCTTCCCTTCATGATCACAGGGTGCAGCAGCATTCTTCCTTCCTAGTTAATCTCTTGCAGCAGCGCCACCAGATAATAATTCTCTAGAAAAATATTAAATAAGGAGAGGTGTAATTTAGTGATATATACTTACCTCATATTTCTGAGGGTCTGGGTTTAATTCTTAACATTGCAAAATAATGATAAATAATAATTATTACAGTTCCTTAAAAGGATAGTCACCTAAATTTATTTCAAGAACCCAGTAATGGACAGAAAACCACATACAATCAAACCCTCTGTATCCATTGCGCTCACATCCATGGACACAGCCAATTGTGAGTTGAAAATATTTGTAAACATATGTGTACTGGGCATGAATATAGCTATGTGTTGTCACAACTCCCTAAACAATCAATATAATAGCTATTTGCCTTGCATTTGTATTGTGTTAGGCACTACAAATAAAAGAGATTATTTAAAATAGACAGACAGATACAAATGCAAATAACTCTACAGGGTTTTAAATGAACACTTGCACTTCTGGAGGCATCAATGTCCAAGAGTTCCTGGAACCATTCCCTTTACACATGTGTAGGAGTAATTATACAGGAGTACTATATTTATACACTACTTTTGTAAATATTCTTTATTTTAATCTTCCAAAAATTATATGAAACTGTAGAGGTTGGTATATTATTATTCTACCCTACAGGCATAATCAAAGCTTTCAATTTCCCACACAGTAAGGTGGGTGACAAATACAAAAGAACGACACTTTACAAGCTTTTGGCTAAGATCAAGTGCAATGAGTAGAACAAAAGGTAATGTATATTTTACTGTAAGAATTCTCTGCATAATGGATCATTTATTTTCACTGCTAATGAAATCAGTAATCTTGAGGTATATGTTTCAAGGCCAATGTGTTAGCTAACAGTGAGAATTTCAGTGTCTAATAAGATGAGAAGTATAATAAGCAGTTAACTGACAAGCAGTGGCTGGATGTAGACCCTCCCAACTCAATGGAGTTGTCCTAGTATCCACTGTTAGACCAATTTATCTGTGTCTCCCAACAGTTTTACCATTTGTGCCTCCAAAGAAATTATTACTAAAAGTAGTAGAAGTAGTCTCTAGCTTTACATTGCCTGTGATCCTGTTTTAAAATTTAACCAATAGTCTCTGGGTTTTGAATAATCTCATTTCAAAAATGTGACACATAAAAATTAGTCTATACTCCATTCATACAACACATTTTAGTGTTTACTTATTTCACTATCTACTACCTTATTTCAGTAAATATGAAGATTGATGCGCTTTTAATACTATGCATTAATAAGCATGAGTAAGGGGCTGGAAAGGTGGCTCAGCAGTTAAGATAACCAGCTGCTCTTCCAGGGGACCCATGTTCAATTCCCATCATCCACATGGCAGCTCACAACCATCTGTAACTCCAGTTCTGGGGGATCTAGTACCCTCTTCTGGGCTACATAGGCACCAGTTATGTACAAAGTGCATACATACAAGCAAAACATCCACACACATATAAAATAATATAAGTATGCATGGAAAACAAAAAACATAATTACTCAGTGTAGCCTGAAACAGCATGATGAATAGTACTCAGAGATGTCCTACAGATGGTTGGGAATTTTGGCTTTAAACTTCTTTATATATTCTGGTTTCTCTTAAGGTCATATAAATCTTCCACTGTTTTGTTGTTGTTGTTGTTGTTGTTGTTTTATTTGGGGTTTTTGTTTGTTTAGTTTTTCAAGACAAGGTTTTTCTGTGTAACAGTCCTAGCTGTCCTGAAACTTGCTCTGTAGACCAGGCTGGCCTTGAATTTACAGAGATCTGCCTTGCCTCTGCCTTTCCAGTGCTGGGATTAATGGCCTGTGCCACCTCCGCCTAGCAATCTTCCACCTTTTAAAACATCCTTATTGAAAATGCAAAAAAGAGAATTCTGTTCAGTTTTCTATGGCTATGACAACAATTATATCTGTCATTAGATTAAATTGGATTGCCAACATGAGTTTATATTAATTCCAACACTATGCAAAGAAATATCACCATTGGTAATCTGTATGCAGATTAAACCCTTAGTGTTCTAGATCCCAATCAAAGGTCCAGTGGTCTACTCCAAACCCCTTCTTACAGATATGATGTTCTTCATTTGTGACAGCTGATAAATGATTAACAATGACCTGCAGTTATCAATTGGCACTACAGCCTTTCCTTCTTGTAGAAACACTGCACACAATGTAAGTGTGCAAAGGGATCTTTAAAGGCCAATGTAATTACTGTTCACCCCCAAGCTTGGGTATAGATGGTAAGCATATTGTGGAGGAGTAATTAAGCAGACTGTAGTTCAGGACATCTAACAGTGTTAGAATGGAATCCCAGGTGCCAGCTGGGGCTGACGAAACAGAGTCGGGTTTGTCATGTTCTAGGATAGCTGAGAGCTTGCCCTCTGAAGAGCACATCATGCAGCTAGGCATGGTGTCTCCTAGAAGCCTGTCTAATGGTGACTGTTTCTTTCTCCTAGGGTGGTACTACAGGCTTTTCATCAACTTTGTGCTACGGAGGCATATTTTCTTCTTTGTACTGCAGACCTATTTCCCAGCCATGTTGATGGTGATGCTTTCATGGGTTTCCTTCTGGATTGACCGGAGAGCTGTTCCTGCAAGAGTGTCCCTGGGTAAATGAAACTTCACAAGTAAAATTATAATATAGAAGGAAGGGCAAGGAGGGACATGTAAACGGATGCTGCGTGAAGTAAAGATAGTGGCAAATTAGTCAGGATGGGTGCTGTGAGTTAAGGTGAAAGTGTTTGTCTTTAGCTTGCTCCAAGGACAAGTTGTAATTGGGCTTTTTCCGGCAACTGAGTGTTTAAGGATGGTGTTGCTGACTGATGAGCAGCTGAGTGATGGATAGTAAGAAAAAAGGGTGAGGTTATGAAGCAAAATATAAATGCACTTAAAAATCCTTTACTGCTGAAGAACCCCCACACACACACACACACCTTGCCCAAGTTTATTTTGCTTTGCAAGACAAACTTTTTACAGCATAGCAGGAAAACCCTTAAAGTAATTCTCACTGCACTGTTGCTGCTGACTTAATAGATCCCAGGGCAGGGTGCGGTTAATTTGGGAACGTGAGTGCTAATGAGAAATCAGAACTTAACTCAAAGGTCACAATGAGATTCCGTGACAGTAGAATTTCAGGGGAAACACAGAGCCTTCCTCATTAAGTCACCACACAAGGATGATTACCCAATCCATCTAGCATGGTAGATACCACTGTCACATCCCCGGATTTATAGGAACCATTTCAGAGCCACTTTGTGGGCATTGAGTCCTTTCGAAGTGGGATGTGCCAAGCAAAGCACTTAGAAGCCCTGTCACTGAATGAGGACCCAGGAGTTAATGCCACATGCCTTCTTGTCAACTTGAGGACAATTACTGGTTTCCCCTAATTTTGGTATTCTTTCTTGTTTGAACCTGTAAAGCTCAATCTTAGGAGATTTTAATAAGTGCTTCACAATCATTGTAGCTATAGTAAAATCCATCCTAGAAAGGATTGCTTTTGAAGTTAATGTTCACAAATCTTATGCATACTTCAAAAGATCATTTGAAGACATCAATTATTAATATCAATAATTTGAATAATTTGTTCACCTTTTCACCCTATAAAAGCCACAGTCTGCAAGCATTTCACACTTGAATATCTTCAAGGAAAAATATCATCTGAATGAGTAATTAAATTATTTTGATTGTGCCTTCCGATCAAAACATCTGTGTCCTGACTCCTGTACAATAGGGGCAAGCAAAGACCCAAACGAGAGTCTGAGGGCGCATGCCAGCCCTCAAGAGAGACTGAGAAAGGCATTCAGTCTAAATGCATATTAGCGTGACTTCTAAACATGTCTCTCAAGTTGATTGCTCTGCGTTTATATGGTGACAATGAAAGCTCTGAGCTAGCAGGCTGAAGAGAAGTATGCATGCAGAAATTCTATGCTCGAGCCTCTCTGAAATCCTGTCTTGTATTTGGATGCATCCTGAAAGATAGGAAAATTTTGTGTATTTATGTGAATTAGCATTGAAATCAGAGCAACCCCTCTCCCACTTTTACTGCAACTAACAGAAGCTTCCCCATAAGTCTGCTGTCTTCTCGGGCCTTTGCTTCCTCCCACTCTCAAGTTCTGCCTTTGTTTCCTTGCCTTTCTAAAGGCAGTGTTGCTCAGTTCCGGGAAAGCACAGCGTGGAACTTCAAAACATATTATAATGTGTATTGATCAAATTAGGTAATTAACATTTCCACCTCCTTGTCATTAGTTTCTGGGTGGTGCCTTTGAGCTCCTAGTTATACACAAACTCCGCTGTAAGCTGTTATAAACTGTAGTCCCTACTGTGCAAGAGAACGCTAGCACCCACTCTGCGTGTGTCTGGATACTCAACACTAGTATCTCGCTATCTCCTCAGCCCCTTGCCCTTTCCACCCTCTCATCATTAGAATTATGCATTCTAGTAACTTTTAAAATAACTTCTACCTGAGGGAACATGACAAACTTGTCTCTCTCTCTTCTGACTTACTTCATTTAACATGTTGTCCTCAAGCTCCACCCACTTGCCACAAACAATGGACTGTAGGGAGACACCCTAGCCCCGCCCAATAGTCCTGGGACAGGTACCAGGTGGACCCGGGACTCGCCCATAAGGGTGTGGTGAAGGAAAGCCGGGGTGATGTAAGAGAGCTTCTTAAGGGGCTGCACGTGGGGACCCTGGCCCCTTTTGTTCTGGCAGCGCTGGCTGGGTTCTATAACCTAGCTCTGGCCGGTGTTTTCCCTTGGTGTCTTCTGGAATAAAGAGACCTTAATCCTACAATGGACTATCAGTTTTATGACTTAATAATATTTCATTATGTATATGGGAAATCTTCATCCATATATCTATTTTTTCATTTTTTTAGTATTTGTTAATTGTATAAGCTAACGGCTGCATTATGACAGTTTTATTGTGTATTTAATATATCGTGATCATCTTTAACCCCCTATTACCATAACCTACCTCTTCCCATTGTTTCCCTTCCTCTAACTCCAAACGCCTTTCTACTTTTATTATTATCTCTATTGTTGTCATTTTATTTTAGTTGTTCTTGTTACATGTGTACACACATAAATACATAAATACAACCTATTGAGGACTTCTAGTGTTGTTCATACATTTTTTTAGGGCTGACACTTGATGCTGGATACTCACTTAGGGAACTCTTCCCCATGCAGGACTGATTGGTGTTGTCTTAACAGTCACTGACTGCCTGTAGTTTTTCACCTTAAGGTTGGATCTCATGAGATTTGCCCCATCCATCTTGACAAGTCAACCGGTGTTGTCATTGTTCTTGTTTCAGTAGCCATATTGTTCAGATTTCGTGGGTATAGATTCCCTGTCCTATGTAGAAAACACAATCCTCCAACAGATAGTCTCTTAGATTTTTTCTCTCCCTCTTTCCAAGATGTTTCCCTAGCCTTATGGGTAGGGGTTGTATTTTAGAGTATCAGTTGGTGCTGGGCACCAACGGTAGGTTGTTCTCTTAATTTTGACCAATTGTGGCTTGCTGTAATGACTTCTGTTTGCAGCAAAAAGAAGCTCAAACCAGTATAAATTCTAACTAAATTCTAATTCTTTTTCTTATACCTACAGATAGATGTAGCCCTCGTCCATGTGTCTATTGATAAACACATAGGCTGAGCATTGTAGATCTTAGCTGTTTTTAACAATGCAGCAATTAACACAGGTATGCAGTAACCTCATTAATATGCTGATACTGTTTCTTTCTGACACATATCCAGAAGTGAGGTTAGTGAATCATATGATAAATCTATTTTTAGTCTCTTGAGGAACTTTCATACCATTCTTCCATTCTTCATAAGCCCGTTTTGTGTGTGTGTGTGTGTGTGTGTGTGTGCCTTTGTTGGCCATTTTAATTGGGATAAGATGATCACTAATTATAACTGGACTTGCATTTCCAAAGTGTACAAAGAATTTGAATACCTTTTTGCAACTTTTTGGAAAATTGAATTTCTTCTTTTGGGCGTGAGGGGGGTGTTTAAGACCGAATTTCTCTGTGTGACCCTGGCTATCCTGGAACTCACTGTGTAGACCAGCCTAGCTTCAAAGGCAGAGATCCACCTGCCTGTGCTTCCCAAGTGCTGGGATTAAAGGCATGCACCACCACTGCCCTGAAATAATTTGCTCCTTTTGAGAAGCATATACTCTTATTCCTTGCCCATTAGTAATTGGATTACACATTTTGTTAGGTTTTTAATGTATACTTTATACTTTGGACATGATTTCTTTGTCAAACTGATGGGTTAGTCAGCAAAAATATTTTCACATTATGTAGGTGGTCTGGTCACTGTGTTTATTCTTTTGCTGTGCAGAACTTCTTAATTTGATTTAGCCACTTTTGTCTAATTTTGCTCTTATTTCCTGTACTCCAAGAACATCATCCAAAAATTCATCATCTGTACCAGTGTTTTGAAGAGTTTCCCTATATTTTCTTCCAGTAGTTCAGAGTTTCAGGTGTTATATTCAGACAAGGGATCTTATCGATTTTTTCAGACTGTTGCAATAAAGTTTCACTGAAAACAATGAGAAGTATGATATTAAATAGACCAGTAAGTGATAGTTTCTAAAAGGTTAACTACAGTGTGGACTCTGAAACTGCCTGTTAGATGACAATCCACGGGTCTATTTTGTGCTGTGAGTGGGTTTTTCGCCCACAGGCTTACTTACTTGAAAAGTACTAGCTTACTGAGTAATCTCCAGGTCTCCCAAATATTTCTGCAATTTACTGTATAATGATGGGGAATTACTGTGTATGTTCATCTTCTTGATTATTTAATAAAGTTTTGTTTGGCCAATGAAACAAGTTAGACAGGACTAGGAGTCAAAGAGGATTCTGGGAAATGTAGTAGAGAAGTGGTGATCCAGACCAGAAGTGATATAGCAAGGAGACTCATATTTGAGCAAGGAGAAACAGGAAGTGTCTTTTTCCCCTTCGCATCCTCCAGCGGTAGGATGTGAGCAACCAGCAAGAGAGGGCACCATCGAAAGGCATCCTCTATAAGATAAGTCTTATAAAATATATAGATTTATGATGATTAAGACTGAGCTAGCAGATGAGAATCCTAGTCATTGGCCAAGCAGCATTGTACCTAATACAAGTCTCTCTGTGCATTAATTGGGGCCCTAACTCTGGCGGGCAGCTGGCATAAAGCACACACATGGCGGTGGAGCTTTGCGGCTTTTGGAGGAAAGATTTATCATAACAGTATAACATCAGAAAAACCAATTGATATTACCATTTATTTCTCATAAAAAATGAGAAGTTGAGCTGGGCAGTGGTGGTGCACGCCTTTAATCCCAGCACTTGGGAGGCAGAGGCAGGTGGATCTCTGTGAGTTCAAGACCAGTGTGGTCTACAAGAGCTAGTTCCAGGACAGGCTCCAAAGCCACAGAGAAACCCTGTCTCAAAAAAGAAAAAGAAAAAAGAAGAGAGAGAGAGACAGAGAGACAGAGAGAGAGAAGTTGGAGGTTCACAATGACAAGTGTAAGTTTAGCAGCAGCATTCTGGTGAAAGTGTGGGTCACATGGTTAACAATGAACAGCATTGATGTGATAGAGTGATTAGCCCAGGTTTAAGAGAATCGGTGCCAAATACTCAAATTGGAGTGATGGATTCACCTTGTTCTTGTGAATAAAAATAGTGTTTCACTGCAAAGTAGGATAGGAAGTGCTGAAGAGCTTACTATATATAACATGTGCAAAGCCCTGTGTTTGATCAGCAGTATCCCAAATAATAAATAAATGGGTCATCAAGTAAATGTCTAGTTCTGCTCTTGACTCCTGTGACTGGGGGTTTTCCTCAAAAAAGCCTTTGTACTTTGGCTTGTGGAAACACTATATAAACTTCACATTCCATGGGTCAAAACCGTTCAAATGAGTGCACACATGCAAGAGAAATTCATGTCACCATCACAGAGATGACCAAAGCCTCTAATGACAGCCACTGGCCTCTGGTACCCCTATATGTGGAAATTGCTGCTTCTGGCCACTGGGTGGTGCTGCAATATCCAGCCCATATCCTTCCCTTATAGGCTTCCTATTGTCATTCTGCCTATGGGCAGAGAAAAAATGTTCTTACTCATACTAAGGCAAATGAAGACCACCCCTCCTTCAGGAAAACTGTTCAGCACATCCAAGTCAGAAGTACAAGTGATGTCTGTGTGCCTACTGCTGTCATCATGGTTAACACCATGCCCGTCAGTGAAACACATACATGAAGAATTCTTCCCAGACTTCTCTTAATTCACAAATGCCCGTGCTTAAAAGTTAATATGATGAAACTGGGAGGGCTCAGGGGAGCTGAGTCAAATGACCTGATAGATATTTTCTCATAACACTTTTCTAACTATGCACACTGATTTTAGTAGATGGGAATATAATTTTCTAATGTAATATATGACCTTTCCTTAAATAAAGGATCAGCTCATATGATTCAAAACCCCTTTACTGGTATGTTAACTTTAATGAATCTGCAAGGAAAACCATTTGTCAAGATTAATGCATTTCCAAGGGATGGTTCAAGACGTAATAAGTATGTTTAATGTGGCTCTAATAGTCCCAACTTCCACTTGTATTGCTCCAAGAATTACCTTATCATTTACTCCCCCATCCAACAATTCTTCCTCCCCACTCTCTCATTAATTATATTGTTATTATTATTGTTGATTTTATGCAATGAAAATCTGTACTCTTGGTTATTTACATAAACAAGTGCTAAATTAGTTGGGCTAGGCATCCTTTTAAAGAAAATGATTGAAAGTTAATTCCTTCCTGGCAAATATAGGTACTGTGGTTCATTTTTATTAATCCAAATACTCAATGATCCCATTGTATACACATAACTCATACACTTGTAACTTTTCTAAACCATTATTTTGTTCACTAAGTCCAAATTTCTGTCTGTTGAAAAACATTGATGTTCTATGCTCCATGTCTTATAAAATGAAGAGAAGACAATTCACATTTTTGGAACTACTGATGGAAGTTACTGTTTAATAACATAAGCTCAGTAGTGGGAACTCATGACTCTGGACTGAGAGGTCTATGTGGGACCGAACTAGGCCTCTGAATGCGGGTAAAAGTTGTGTGGTTTGATCTGTTTGTGGGGTCCCTGCCACTGGGACCAGGACCTATCCCAGGTACATAAACTGGCTCTTTGGAGTCCATTCCCCATTGTGGGATACCTTGCTCAGTCTTGATGCAGGAGGGAGGAACCTGGTCCTCACTCAACTTGGTATGCCAGACTTTGTTGATGCCCCAAGGGAGGCCTTGCTCCCTCTAAGGAGTAGATGGGGGGCGGGGATGAAATGAGGGGAGGGCAGGATGGGGGCAGGAGAAGGAGAGGGAGAACTGGGGTTGGTATGTAAAATGAAACAAAATTTAAATAAAAAAGTGAAAAAATAAAAGAATGTGAGCTCAGGAATCCCTCAGTTCCAAGAAGACCATCTTAAAGAGATTAGGACTTCTGGCTCATTGAAAGTACAAAGGACCATCTTCATGCCTTTTGGCATATCCCCCCAGTACTGTGTAGCATCTTGTCTCAGAGATCTGCCACATATGGAAATTGATTTATAATCTTATAAACAAAGGATATTCCCTTCCAGGTCTAAAATGAGAGGCAGTGGGTATACAATAAAAAACACCACAGGCTTAACAATGACAGGGGGAGATCTAAATCCTATTCCTGACAAACTGTGGTCCAATCACTCAGCTATCCTTAGCATATATCTTATTTTTGTAATCTATGGCCAACATTTACCAAAGTGCATCATAGGTAAATGTCTGATTGAAGCAACCAGCTTTCAAGCTATAATCTTGGTTTCAGCTCTATGTGTTGCATTAATACAAAATTCATGACCCCATGTTTATGTAACAAGTGTGCTTTGAAGTCAAAGCATGAAAACAACATATAGTTGCATGCAAACTGTTGCTTTTGTATTTGTTAATTTATTTACTTACTTATGTATTGTTACTGTTGCTGTGTGGAAACATGAGATTGAATAAGACAGTCCCTTTGCTTAATGTTAAGAGCTAGAATAGTTTAGAAGTTCAAGTCAGTGTCAAGATGAGATTTTGGATTTTTTCCCATGATAACTGTCAAACTACCAAGCTGTAATGTGTTTTGTTATACAAACTGAAACTTCATTTGAAATTTAGTGGCTCTATAGAGGTGTCACTGTGTTTGACATAAGGCTTTCTTAAAGGAGCACCTCACACAATCCTGGAGAAATGATAGAAGCCTCTTGGTGGAAGTGTCTTGATCAAGAGTAAATCACAGTGCTCTTCCTGCTGTTCAGGACTCCATGATCCATAAACTCACTAAGGATTTCATTTGTACTTCCTTGGTGCAAAGTTAACAAATAAAACCACTCCATCCAATGTGCATTTTGGATATTTACAACATTGCACCTTCTCTCCAGACCATACTCTGGCAACATTCTTCTGTGAGATTAGGGTAGAAATCCAATAGCTCCCAAAGCTGATATTTTACTAAAATCTGAGACACTTTTCCTCCATTTGTCTTCCAAAACCCTGAACCTAGAATGCTCATGTAAGAGAACAAAGAAAGGAAAGACGAAGGAAAAAAAGGAAAGGGAAGGAGAAGGCTTCTAACTCTAGAAAAAGGGAAGAGACGGAAACAGTGATAGAGGAGGAGAGGAGAGAAGGAAGGGGGAATGACTCACATCTACCAGCTGCTCAGAAACAGCCTCCAGCAATAGCACACTTGCACTCTGAGTTTCAGTTGAAGGGTAGTTTCATTTATGAGAGTTCAAAGAAAATAATGATGGCTTTACTAAAAGCATTCTTGATGAAAGAAAAATGTGGAGCACAGTGGTCTTAGTAGAACTTAAGGTCAACCAAGAAAAAATGAGTCCCCTTTGCAGCATGAAAGAGTAAAGGTAGACATAAAGACTGCTTTATTTATTTATTTATTATGTAAACAACATTCTGCCTGCATGTATGCTTGCAAACAGAAGAGGGCACAGGATCTCATTTCAGGGGTTGTGAGTCACCATGTGGTTTCTGGGAATTGAACTCAGACCTGTGGAAGAATAGCCAGTGCTCTTAACCTCTGAGCCATCTCTCCAGCCCCCAAGACAACTTCTTAAAAGCAACAGCTGTTAAATAATTTAGAGAAAGTTACTGCAAATGACTTTGTGATTTCCTTGCCAGGAGAATTCCTTAAATTGGATACATTTTTATCTTTCTAGGATGATCAGAAGTTGCTCATTGAAGGACAGGATCCAAACATGTTGGGGTTTGTGTGTTTAGATGAAGGGAAGGACTCTGTGGGATCAGCAAGATACACATGTGGAAAGAAAAATCCAATGAGAACCTTTAGAAGTCCAAAACTAGCGTGCAGAAGTTTACTCCAACTCTGGGATGCCAGATAATTTTCGTTTTCAAGGGACATGCATTAATGATCCAGTAACTGAATGGCTGTGTCACTGAGTTTGTGACTCACTTTTCTTGAACTGCAGGGATCACCACAGTGCTTACCATGTCCACAATCGTCACTGGAGTGAGTGCCTCCATGCCTCAGGTGTCCTACATCAAGGCTGTGGACGTGTACATGTGGGTCAGCTCCCTCTTTGTGTTTCTGTCCGTCATTGAGTATGCAGCAGTGAATTACCTCACCACAGTGGAAGAATGGAAGCAACTCAACAGGAGAGGAAAGGTACAGCTTTGCCTTGAGTGTCCATTCCTTTCCAAATGTGGCTAGCTTGGTTTCTGTTCCCTTTGCTGTGATAAAATACCCTAACAAAAAGAGCTTGCAGGGAAGAGGGCTTATTTTGGTTTTTAGTTCAAGGGCATTGACCATTATGCTGGGGAAGCCAAGGCAGCAAGAGTTTGAAGCGGCTGGTCCAATTGCATCCACCATCCAGAAGCAGAGAGCTATTAATGGAAATTACTGCCTCTTTCTTCAGTTATACCAGTGGTTCTCAACCAGTGAATCACGACCCATATGGTTGAACATCGTTTTTACAGGGATCACCCAAGACCATTGGAAAACACAGATATTGAAATTAAGATGCATAACAGTAGCAAAGCTACAGTTATAAAGTAGCAATGAAAATAATTTTATGGTTGAGCATCGCCACAAGATAAGGAACTATATTAAAGGGTCACAGCATTAGGAAGGTTGAGAGCGGCTGACTTATATAGTGTAGGGTCCCAGCCAGGGAATGGTACCACCCACAATGGGAGGGGCTTCTCCCTCAAACAATACAATTAAGCTAGTCACCTACTGACAGGACCAGAGGCCCATCTGGCAAAGTGATTCAAGATTCTGTCAAAATGACAATTAGCAATAAATATCCCAGGGGCAAAGACTAACTTCTTTAACAAACTTCCATTGACAGTTCTTAAAACTCTTGCATGAAATCCAAGTGCCTTGGGAAGGGACAAGTGAGCAAGACTGTGACAGTATAATGTGGACCTTTAATCTCTGCTCCATGGTGGCTGTTTTCCTCCTTCACTTTCACCAGGGACTTTTGTGTGCGAACAATTCTTATCAGTGTGCATTGGTCCACTGACTCTGCCCAATTAAAAGAAGGGGCTGTTGTACAAACTGCGTGCTTTCTAATAGAAGATAGTGGTAGCGGTGATGGTGGCGATAGCTAGAATGTATTAAGTGTTCACTTTATCTTGGAATTATGCCAACACCTAAAATATGTTATGTGATTTGATTTTCATAGTAACCCTAGGAGGTCAATGTTTTCTCTCCGTCTTTTCACAGAGGTAAAGTGGATGGATCTATCCAAGGTCACAGAGCTGAAGGGTCATCAGGATTGGCTTTTGAGTCTATGACTCCAAAGGCTCTGCTCTCAAGCAATAACGTCGTGACTTTTTTTCTTGTCACTTAGAAGAGCATTAAAACAAAACAAGGGGTTCTTCTTCCCATAATGTCCTGGCAATGGGGTATCTTCTGCACTCTGTTTCTGACGTTGCTTAGTAAAATGTATTTGTTGCTTTTTACTGCTTTATTTCACAAAAGATTTGGGCTTAAATCTCCTGTACTTATGAAAACTTATATACGACATTGCACCTGTAAATTCTAACTGATAAGATTCACCCATGTGTTTGCTAAAACTATATACAAGAAACAATCTCTGAAAAAAAAAAGGAAGAGAAAATGTGTATTAAGATGAACTAAAATCCTTCTACTATTGAGGCTTATTTTTCTAGTTGAAGTTTATAAACAGAGAATATATATATATATATATATATATATATATATATGTATATATATTTAACAAAGAAAGAAATTTTTTACAAATTTTAAAAAAAGAATCTCTGTGTGTGCACATGCACATAATTTTAATGATATATGTTTATACTGGCTTTAGAGATTTTTAAAAACTATATATATATACATATACATATATATATGTACATACATATACATATATATACATATATATATACATATATACACACACATATGAATGTTTTGCCTGCATGTGTGTTGTGTACCACATGAGTGCAGTACCCACAAAGGCCAGCAGATGGCATATAATCTCTGGAAAATGGAGTTACAGACTCCATGTCATCAACTATGTGGGTACTGGCAACCCAATCCAGGTCCTCTACCAGAGCAGTATGTGCTTTTAGCTGCTAAGCTATCTCTCCAGTCCCAAGGTTTGCAAATTGTCGTATGAGCATTTGTGCATACTGAGAACATCGTTCGCTATTTCGATTTTTCTAATGAGAACATTTCTGGCTTTCACGTGTTTTTTTAACATCATCTTCCACTGAGACTTCACAGTGGCTTCCCTGCTTAAGCTGTGCAGAGACAATCTTCTCTGGTTTGTAAATGGAGAAGGATTTTGATGAACTAGAAAGACTTGACAAATGACACACAGAAAAGTGAGTTGTGGTTCAGATCTCTGAGGATAGCCTCACTCTTTCATTTTATGTCCTTTGATCAAAGCCCTATGACAACTGATTTTGTTTTATCCTACACACTTTTCTTTCTTTTGTTGACTATCTGAGGCTTTGTTATGCACACATGCATCCCGGGGTGAGGACACCATGAGCTTTCAGTTGCATGTGGAATCCGTCCGTGTTCTTGTGGAGCCTAAGTCTGCAGTACAGAGGTAAAAGCTCAGATTCTATATATCTGACAAGCTCCAGGTGACGTTAAAGCCACTGGTCCTTACCAACATTGGAGATAGCAATGGTTTGCATAATCGTGTCCTGAAAGACAAATGGGGAAAAGTGTGTACAGACTGAAAGATCTTGTTTGTTTTAACGTGGTGAGCAGTTAGTTAATCCAGTGCGGAGACCCTGAAGATCACTCATCTGTTTCTTTGACTCTGAAGTATGCCTTCCCTGCCCTCATCTGCCACACAATGTACTGTCTCTTACTCTGAAATTCTTGCCTATTCATTTTGTTTTCAAACCGCTGAGTTTAACCAAGGCTTTATGAACCTATTTGTTGGAGCTTGGTGGACTCAGTAGTGGATACTCAACTAAAGGCAATTACTCTCCCTCTCCCAGAATCTATCAATAACCAATAGTTCATCTGTAATGGGTAGGTCCTCATGAGCTCCTCATTCATCCAGAAATGGTTTATTGACAGGGCCAGTTTGCTGTGGGGCTGGTGAAGGTACCCACAGTTCATCTGTGTTCATGATTGCATTAGTAGTACAGAATCTACTGTACTATACTACTATCCTTGTATTCACCAGCTCTTCTGTACTCTCTATCCCCTCTTCCACAGCATTCCCTGAGCCTTATAGGAGGTAGTGTAAATGTCTTGTCCAGGGCTGAGTCTTCAGTCATCATCTATTCTTGAGTAGCTGTAAGTCTACATTTACTACAAGCGGAGACTTGTCTGGTTAAGACTGAACATAGCTTTTGCCTATGCCTGTAAACATGGATATTTAAATTTTATTTAAGCCTTTTGGCTAAGATCAAGTGTAGTATCTGTTCTTATCAGTTTAAATTTTAGTTAAATGATAGTAGTAACTTCCCTCTATTGAGCCTTTTACTTCCCTTAGGAATTGGTTATTAACAAGGGTTACAGTACCATACATGGGCCTTAAATCCAAGCAGAAGTTTATCTGTTACATCATTTGTATTCATGATGACAGCCATTGTAACTGAGGTGAGATGGAATTGTAAAGTATCTGAAATCTGCATTTTTCTGATGGTTAAAGATGCTGGACACAGTTTAAAGTGACTCCTCACAGTTTATATTTCTTTTGTTGAGAACTCTCTTCTGTAGTCATTTTAAATTAGATTATTTGTTTAAAAGGTGTTTAGTGTTTTCTGGGGAGGGGTTGCTTGCTTTTTATTTCTTTGCATTTCTTTGTATATTCTAGACAAGAATTCTCTGATGTATAGATGGCAAAGATTTTCTCCCATTTTGTGGCCTCTTCTTTACTCCAGGGACTGTCGTAGCATATTATTTTATGATGCCGTGGAACATTTGCTTTAATGATGCAAAGATGTGCTGCATTCGTTTATGTTGCATTTGTTTAACACTGTGAAGCTGTGATTCTTTGCCTGTCTAAAACACCTGATGGTCTAATAAAGCGCTGAATGGCCAATATCAAGACAGGAAAAAGATAGATGGGGCTGGCAGGCAGAGAGAATATATCGGAGGAGAAATCTGGGAAGAGAGGAGGAAGGAGAACGAGAGAACAAAGATAGGAGGACACTAGGGGCTAGCCACACAGCCACACAGCCACACAGCCACACAGCCACACAGCCACACAGCCACACAGCCACACAGCCACACAGCCACACAGCCAGCTATGGAGTAAGAGTAGAATAAGAAAAGGAAAAAGCCCAGAGTCAAAAGATGGTATAATTTATGATAAGAAAAGCTGGCTAGAAACAAACCAAGGTAAGGTTGAGCATTCATAAAAATAAATGCCTCTATGTGATTTATTTGGGAGCGGGGTGGTGGGCCCCCCAAAAGAACAAAAAGAGCAAAGATTAAGACAGCCAACTACAATTGACAGTTTCCTTTGCTGTAGAGAAGGCTTAAATTTCATGAGACCCTCTTTGCAGATTATTGGTCTTACTCCCTGAACCATCAGAGTGCTATTTAGAAACCCATTGCCCTTTCCCTGTAGCAGTTTCAGAATATCAGCCCTTATATTTAGGTCCTTGATCCATTGGAATTAAGTATTGTGTAGGGTAAGAGATACAGACCTAGTTTCATTCTTTTGCATGCTAGTACCCAGGTTTCCCAGTACTGTTTTTTTTTTTTTTTTCAAAGATGCTGACTTTTCTCCAATGTATATTTTTTGACAACCAGGCAGCTTTAGTTAAGGAATTATGTTTGGGTGCTCCATTCTATTCCATTCATCTATGAGTCTACTTTGGTTCCATTATCCTGGTGTTTTTATTACTATGATTCTATGGTATAACTTGAAATCAAATATGGTGTTACTCCCTAAAGTATTCATTTTGTTCTTGGCTGTTTGGTCTTTTGTGCTTCCATACATATCTAAAGATTGTTCTTTCCCTAAATATATGATAAATGGGCTTGAAACTTAGATTGTAATTGCATTGAATCTTTAGATTGCCTTTAGTAGAAACCTATTACAATATCCATATTCCACGAGCTTGGGAAGTCTTTTCATCTTCTAGTGTCTCTTTCAATTACTTTCTTCTTTTGAAGAAAGATTTTTTAATTTAGTAAAATAAAGATTTTTAATATATGCCTCTATGGTTTTCTAAATTTCATATTGCAATATCTTCCTTTCACCTTTAATTTTATTCATTTGTCTCTGCTCTCTTTTGCTTAACTAGGAAAAGGGTTTGTAAATCTTATTTATCTTCTCAGAAAAATCAATTCTTCATCTCATTGTTTCTTTATATTCATATATGTTATTAAATTCTGCCCTGTTGTTAATTATTTCTCCCTATCTACTGCTTCTTGATTTTCAAGGCTTTGAGGTACATCAATAAGTTATTTATTTGAGATCTTCTTAATTTACTTATGTCAGCACTGAGAGATATAAAAGTTACTCTTCATTGTATCCCATACACTTGTGTATGTTGTATTTATTTTCATTTGATTCTACATTTTTTAATTCCCTTATTAATTTCTTCAGTGACCTATTCATAAATACTGTGTAATATAATCTCCTTGAGTTTGTATGCTTTCTGTATTTTCTTTTTATGTTAATACTTAACTTTGTTCTATTGTGGTAACATTGAATTCAAGCTATTTCAAAATTTCTATATTAGTCAAGACTTGCTATGATGGCTATTCTTGCTTGTCAACTTGACTACATCAGGAAATAACTAAAACCCAAGCAGCTGGATATGCTTGTGTGGGATTTTTTTTTTCTTGATTAAATAATTTGAAGTGGAAAGACCCACTTTTAATCCAGGTCTTTTAAGGTGGGAGGATCTACCTTTAATCTGGGCCACACCTTCTAGTAATGATGGTGGTAGACGTTAAATCAAAAGTAGTAAGTAGAGAAAAGTCACACCATCCTCAATTAAAGAATAATCCATGGATACAATATTGTAATTCTGAACAGATACACATGAAGCACAGCTGTAACAAATTTCACAAAATAAGTACCATTTGTTATAAAGTCTTGGATAAATCACAACCTCCACCACCACCGTCCCACTGTACAAGCTCACATAGAGGAGCACGCATGCCTGCAGGGACTCTCTCTCTCTCTCTCTCTCTCTCTCTCTCTCTCTCTCTCACACACACACACACACACACACACACACAAACACATACAGCTCAGTCACCTACTAAAGACCAAGAACTGAGAAAACATCATAGATAATAATTTTAAAAACTGTCCTTAGTGTTAAACTTAGCCCCAAAGGGGTAAGGGAAGCTCCTTTGCATTATCTGTCATTTGATAACTCAGTCTGTAACAGTCAGATCTGTGGGCTGGAGAGAAAAAGTAAAGACCATTTCTAAATTTGTTCTTATCACACAGCTCACTTACAAACCTAGGAAAACAGTAGCTTATTGGTAAATTGTGGATTAATAAGCTTTGATCAATTACATGAGTAATTCTTTCTTTTTATTTTTATAATATTTTTAATTAGAAACAATCTTATTTTACATATCAACCTCCCTTCCCTCTCCCTCCCATCCTCCCATGCCCTCCACCAGCTCCCCCAACCCACCCCCACCCACTACTAAAGGATGTTGATGCCTTCCATGGTGGATTATCAAAGTCTGTCACATCATTTGGGGCAGGGCCTAGGCCCCCTCCATGTATCTGGCTGAAATAATATCCTTCCATAGGGAATGGGCTCCCAAAGTCCATTTGTGCACTAGGGATAAATACTGGTTCCACTGTCAGAAGTCCCATTTACTGCCCAGGTCTCCTAACTAGCACCCATATTCAGAGGGCTTTGTTCAGTCCAGTGCTGGTTCCCCAGCTTTATGACTTGGATCCATGTGCTCTCACTTGGTCAGGTCAGCTATTTCTGTAGATTACTCCATCACGGTCTTGACTGTTTTGCTCATCCCCCCTCCCTCTACAACTGGATTCTAGGAGTTTGGCTCAGTGCTTAGCTGTGGTTGTCTGCTTCTGCTTCCATCAGCTACTGGATGAAGGCTCTAGGATGGCAATTAAGGTAGTCATCTATCTCATTATAGGGGAAGGGAATTTAAGGCAGCCTCTCCACTACTGCCTAGATTCTTAGTTGGGGACATCTTTGTGGATCTCTGAACATTTCCCTAGTGACAGATTTCTTTCCAGACCTGTACTGGCTCCCTCTATTAAGGTATCTCTTTTCTTGCTCTCCTGTATTCCTCCCCTGACTCAGTCTTCCTCATCCCTCTTGTTCTCCTCCCCCTCCTCTTCTCCCCTTCTCTTTTTCCTACCTCCGTCCCCTCACCCCATGCTTCCAATTTGCTCAGGAGTTCTTGTCCCTTTCCCCTTCTTCGGGGGACCATTACATGGGTAATTCTAGATTGTCAATATGGAGAAAGAAAATAGTACTCCTGTTCCTTAAATATTAGTCTTCTAAAACATGCTGGTAACACTTATTCAGATAAAAAGTAGACAGCAGGTGAGATGTCCCAGAAGTATTTTGGGTAAGAAGAAAACCACTGATAACACTGTGCTTTTTTATAATATATATATATATATATATATATATATAT